TTATTAATGAAAAACAATGAGGGAAAAAAAAACAACAAGAAAAAAGAGAAACATTTGCTGAGCTTTAACAATTTTGTACTCTTACAGAATCACCGTTAGAAGGGGGGCGGAGGGGGGGGAGGGGGGGAGGAATTAAGTCTCGCCGCAACACCGCGCTGCTGTAGTGCCGCATTGCATTGCGGCAGCGATAGCGATGGTGGTGATGGTGGCAGAGGCAGTTACGGTGACAACTGAACCAAAAAAAAGTTGGGGCCAATACAATTGCAATTGGATGTGACGGTGGTGAAATTTGAGTGAATGCCCAAAACTGAGTTTAATTTTGAAATCGAAACAAAAAATTGCCTGTTTTTAGCTGTTTTTTTTTCTTTTTTAAGAGCCTCTACTATAAATACAATTTACAGGATAACAATAATCGGAGGAAAAATATAACTTATCCTTATCTTAAGGATTTTTGATATGTTTAAACACTACAAATCTATAATTTTTAAACAAATAAAAAAAATAAACAAAAAAAAAAATTCTTTTGCTTTAGAGACAATATTATTCTATGAAGAATTTTCACACTCAATTAAATTTGTTTTATATTCTGTCGTTTTTTCTCATCAACTTCAAAATCTATAATTACAGATGCGCGCTCTCTTTTGAGCTGAATTAAATTTTTGGTTCAGCCAAGTTAGAGGAATAAATAAGTTTTGAAAACAAAAAAAAAAAAAAAAGAAGCTTTTTGAAATTGCTATTATTATTGGCATCTAATTGTCCTCAGTTTGGAACAAAATATGTCAAATAAAACAGAAACTGTCATTATATTTGAGGTAACAGTCGTCCATTGCTGTTCTTCTTGTTGTCATAGTTGTTGGTACTGTTTGATATACAAGAAAGTTTTATCAAATAAAGTGTATAAAAATTTTAATAACAACTTTTTGGCAAAAACTTTTAGACCATTTTGTCTAGACAACCAAAAAAAATACCACTTTTTTTTTTTCTTCTTGTTCATCACTGATGTCATTGATTTTCGTCAGCTACCTTTTTTTTTTTTTTTTTTTTTGTTTTGCTGACAAGTCTAAATAAGACTAAACTTTATGTAGATTCTTCTGATCTGCTATAAATGACAGTCAAAATACTGTTGTATAAAAAGTTACAAATCATCTAATAAAGTGTCCCATAAGTATAATATTATACAAAAAAAAAAAGCAGAGAAGAATTAATTGAAAAAGTAATTTTCCTTCCAATTAACTAATATTTTGTGTTTGCAGTTAACTTGGAGTAACGATTTTGATTTCCTGTATCAACTGGGAGCCAATATTTACACCTATATTTTTGAAGCCAATCCACAAGCTAAATCTTTATTTCCATTTATTAAAAAATATGGTGAAAATTGGAAAGAATGCCGAGAATTTCGAGGTCAAGCTTTAAAATTTGCTCAGGTTTGTGCCATCTGT